TAACAAAACATTATAAACCCTCTTGATATGCATTGGGCCTTTCTCTTTTATCTGTCTAACCAATTCTTCTTCATGCAACATTAAACCAGTTTTTTGATCTTCTCTCCATCTCAGTTGAAGTTGATTATACTGTAACCAAGTTAAATTAATCCCTTCTTCCAACAGTGTATTTAATGTCTTTAGTTGCCATCTGCCCCCATCATTAAAAAGTACTTCTTTGTATAACCCCCCCCCCGAGTGACTTTATATTTGTATTCCGGTATAATATGACCAAGATCCAACCACAACGGTATTTTATAATCCCATTTGAACCGGTGCTCCTTCCATACTCTCATCAAGGAGTTTCTAAGCATATGGCTGTTGAATACTTTATCCACTTTATTTTCATAGAATAAATATGCATGCCAACCCAATTCAAGATCATAACTCTCTATATTCAATATTCCAGTCTTTGTCCTTCCAAACCAATCACTTGCTTGTGTCAACGCTGCTGCTTCATAGTACAGTCGTAGGTTTGGAAGTTTAAGACCACCCCTTTCACGAATATCTTGCATAATTTTCAATTTAACTCTTGGCTTTTTCTCATTCCAGACAAACTTATTCACTCCTTTTTGCCATTCCATCAGCTGTTTATCACTTTTAAGCACCGGAATCATTTGAAACAAAAATAAAAATCTAGGTAGAACATTCATTTTAACTGCTGCTATTCTTCCAAGTAGAGACAGCTGCAGTTTTTTCCAGGTTTCCATATCCTTTTGTAGAAGCCAAAGTCTTTTATTCAGAAGCCTGTGAAGCTGTAAGTACATGAGATGCAAGGAAAGCAGCTTTCCCCATCTGAATAAAAGACCGGCTTCTCTGCCATGAGGGTCTGCAGGTTTGGTTTGGGCCCATTCTAACCGGCGTCGAGCAGCCTCCTGCTTGTTACTGACTGGCTAGTTCGAATGAGCAGCTTCAGGGATTGGGGCATGGCAGCCAATCAACAAGGGGCTTGCAGTTCAACCGAATGAGATAAACAAAGCAAGCTCCTCATTGATTAGTTGCTGCTGCCTCAGTCCCTGAAGCTGTCCTGAAGCAGGAGGCCTTTTCTACTACCAGAGGCCTGCTGGCCACATGGCCCCAAGCCTCAGTCTTTTATCAGAAGTTGGTAAAAATGTTTTCCTTAGATTTCACGTTCTTACAGCTTCACCATCATCTGAATAAAACACTTTGGCTTTTCTGCTAGCGGGTCAGCGACTTCTGGAGCTCTGGAGATTTTCAGAAAGTAAGTAATCCATGGGAAATCGGGTGGGATGGAGTAAGTGGAATCCTAGACGCTAGCAAAGGGGGAGGGGGAAGCAATTGTGGGGACCCCAGGGGAGCATGAGGTATCTCAGTGGTTGGTGGGAGGTCTGGGATGGCCTGCTCTGGCACTAGGCCCCATAGGCTCTTCCCCACTCTGAGACACCTCATGTGCATTTAATGATCTGCATATTTGATTAACAAATGCATTGGGGAAAGCAGGGAGTGATCACGTTCATTTAATGTGATTCAATGAAACAAATCCTCAGGTTAGGAATGTAATTGGCAGGCTCTATTATGTTCATAACTTGAAGATTACCTGTATAATGAGAGTGAGTGAGGGTCTCAGGGAAATCCTGCCTTAGCACTTGGCCACCACAGGTGCCACCCCTGACACAAGTCCCGTGTCATGCCCCCTTTGACTATGCTCACCCTAACCATGCCCACCATGACCCTGCTCCTGCCACGCTGTCCCCCCCCGGCCCTCCAAGGTCAAACACAACCCTGATGCGGCCCTCAATGAAATTGAGTTTGACACTCCTGGTCTAATCATTCTTCATAGGAAAACTTTGAGCCTTCTGAGAACTTACCAGTCTTCCCAAATATGCATCATCTGAAAATCTGATGGGCATCCCTTCTATCTTCTGCCTGCAGTATGAAACCTTATCAGATTTCTATTGGAAGCTAAGTATGCCCTGTTGATAGCATATTATCAGTCTACTAATCTAGTAACTTTTTCTTCCCAAAAAAGCAGTATAATTTGTCTTGCATGATCTGGTTTTAACTAACCCATGCTGGTGTCTAATAATCATTTTCTTACTTTCCAAATCCTCCAAACCCACTGCTTGATCATCTTTTCTAGGATTTTCTCAGATATTAATGCCAAGATGATTGGTCTGAAGTTTCTTAGATGTACTTTTCTTCCTTTTTAAAATGGGGATAGCCCTTCTCCAATCATCTGGCACTTCCCCAATATTACAGGAAGTGTAAAATTGCAGCTTGTGATTTTGAAATCACATCCACCAGTTCCTTTAGCATGGGATGCAAATCTATCCAATTGCAGAGATTTAAACTCATTTAAAGTAGCTGAGTGTTTTCATTTTTGGACCTGCGTTGCTCTCCTGCTTCTCAAGGTGTGATCTCTGATAGATTCTACCACCTTTCCCTTTCGTGAAAAGGTGCTGCACAATAGGAATTAAATAGTGAGCCAGTTGCCCATCCCCATCCCCATCTTGCCTTCTTGTCCAACCAGCTGAATGACTGCTTCCATAACTTTCCTTTTGTTTCACAAGTACCCAAATATTATTTTCTTGTTATTTCTGTTGTTTACTGCAAATCTCTGGTCATTCTGCAACTTAGTCTTCCTGAAATCATCCTTATAAAGTGTGCTTTTGTTTTATACCCCTTTTAATTTTTTTAATTTGACCTTTTTTGATTCACACAGAGATTCTTTATGTAAGAGAGAGAGCTCTTTATGCAACCACAGCTGTATCATTCTCTGTCTTCTATTTTTCTTTACATTTGGTGTTCTTTATGTTTGGGTCCTAATTACTTATTTTATTTTTTTATTTGTTAAATTTATTTACTGGCCATCTCACTTTGGGGCTACAATAAAATGGAAAAATGATTTTAAAATGTACACATAGCAATAGCAAAGGAATAAAGCAATAACAATAAACAATGAAAGTACAATAATGTCAAAGAACGCACTGTAAGCCGCCCTGAGTCTCTGGAGAAGGGTGGCATATAAATCAAATTAAAGAAGAAGAGGAAGAAGAAGAAGAAGAAGAAGAAGAAGAAGAAGAAGAAGAAGAAGAAGAAGAAGGAAGAAGAAGAAGAAGAAGAAGAAGAAGAAGAAGAAGAAGAAGAAGAAGAAGAGAAGAAGAAGAAGAAGAAGAAGAAGAAGAAGAAGAAGAAGAAGAAGGGCAGAGGGGAGCGCAGGGGGAAGGTGGAGTGTCAGTTAATTAGTCCAATAGCCACTTCCAACAATGTACTCTTCTATTGGGTCCCTAGGCCAATTGGCAGAGCCAGGTCTTCAGATCCTTTAGGAAGGATAGGAGGGTGGGGGCAACCCTCACCCCAAGGGGCAGGATGTTCCAGAGGGCTGGTGCTATAGCAGAAAAGCTCTTCTCCTGGATCCTGTCAGTTGGAGTTCTTTGATTGAGGGATCCTGGGATCCTAAGTCTCCTCCACCGGCACAAGTAGGGTAGGCTTGTCTTAGTGGGATGAGACAGTTCATCAAGAAATCTGGATCTATGCCATGGAGGGCTTTATAGTTCATAACCAATACTTTGAACTGCACCCAAAGCAAACTGGCAGCCAGTGCAGCTCACAAAGCTCTAATGTAACATGGCTCATTCTACAGGTCCCACCCAAGGACTGCTCATGCTGCTACATTTGTATTATCTGAAGCTTCTGAATGCATTTCAAAATTTAGCCCCATGTAAAAGTGTAGTACAGTAATTCAGATGAGAGATGACTAGGGCTTGAGTGACCAAGTGCAGGCAGTCCTGATCCAGGAAAAGCTGCAGTGCAGAACTGTGCTGCGCAATCCTAAACTCTATAACTGGCCCTAAAGGATACTATGGTTGATGGTATTGAAAGCTGCTGAGAGGTCAAAGAGAGCCAGGATAGTTGCACTACCACCATTCTGCCCTCACCAGAGATCATCCATAAGTGTGACTAGTGTGCACATAAGTGTGCAGTCTCCGTCCCATAGCTGGACCTGAAGTCTGACTGAAAGGGGTCTAGGAAATATATTTCATCTGATTCTCTGAAGTTGCTAAGCAACCACCTTTTCTAAAAAGGGGGGATAGGAAATAGGACAAAAATTTTCAAGGCAGGTGGAAAATTTTAGGAGAGGGCAAAGCAGGGCCTCCTTAAAAGGCTCCAGGATCATCGCTCTTGCAGTGAGGAATTTATCACTGCATATACTCCCCTGCAAGCCACCATCCTGGAGGCTTTTACCAACCAGGAAGGACAAGGGTCTAATTGACAGGTGGTTGCATTGATACCATTGAGGAACCTGTCCACTTCATTAGGACCAATAGGATCTTAAGACCCCCTGGTCCCTAGTGTTGAGTTATAGTTATGTCATTTTTCAAAATTTCTCCATAGAAATGGAGAAAGCATCCATAGAATCCTTCCTACTTTTTCCTTTAGCTTATTGACATAAATTCTCTTGAAATCTAGGTCACTAATCTGCTAATCTGTCTATCTGTGATGGAATGTGCACCTGCAGCAGCCGAGGGGGAGAGTTTTGCCAACTCGGAGCTTTTCTGGAAAGAGACCCAGATTAAGAGATTGTGCATAATAATATTATCAATATGATCATTTTCTGTGTTATGTGTTTGTGTGTGCTTTCAAGTCAGACTTGACTCTTGGTGACTGCCTGGACAAATCCCTTACCAAGACTTTGGAAGTGGCTTTCCCATTATCTCCTTCCTAGGGCAGGCAGAGTGTGCCACCCATGTCCAGGAATATCACACAGTTGACTTTGTGTCCAAGGTGGGACTAGAACTCATGGTCTCCTAGTTTCTACTCTGATACCTTGGCCTCTATACCAAACTGGCTCTCCATATCATCATTACTGAGTTTAAAGTAATATTTCTTCTTTCTTATATAGAATGCATTTAATTTTTAATTTATGTTCTTCTTTTTATGGATTTTTATAATAGCCAAACAACTTTCAGAAATCACATTAATGTTTATCCTCTTCTTAGATTCTGGTTGTGATTCAGTGGCTGATGCAAAGAAGGAGGATGCTGGGAGTCTACAAGTGTCATACAATTTTCCAGCCTGTCAGGCCCGTGAACCTTTAGTGACCAGATTAGAAAATCTTGTTGCAGTGCAGCCTGATCGTATACGCTGTGGGGTATAGTATATTTCTACTCTTTCAAAGTTGATCTGATAGAACTGGAAGAGAAAGCATGCTCTGCAGTAGATACAGCTTAATTATAATAGCACAGCTATTCACAAGCAGACTTGTTCTTAACATTGCTAGCCAAATTTTTGAGTTGGACTATATGGGTAAGAAAATGTGTGATATATGTAACCGCGTTCTGTAACATGTTTTCCTTTTCTTGGGCAAAGGATGGTGAACCTGCAACCAAATACTCTTCAACCAAAACTTAAGCAGCCCTAGCCAGCATAGACACTGATTAAGAATGCTTAATTAAATCACAGCTCACAATATCTGGTTTACCGCAAATACTCTATCCCTACCGTATTCTTTTTTACTATGCATTTCCTTTTTCTATTTCACATTGTTATCTGAGGTGTTACATGAGTTTGGGTTGAATTTTAGTTCTGTTTTCTGTAATTCATCTTACGGGGGAGGGAAACAAAGTATGTTGCTGGGGTTTTAATGATGTTGTAGTTCTGCTCAGACATAGGTATAAATGATTTTTATAAATTTGTGGCTGCATAGTTGGCCTGAATCTACCAAAAGGATAGTGCTTGTACCAAGAAGGTTGGTTTCCAGGTTTCTGGATTATTTCCTCCCCTTTCCTCCACAATGTCCTGAAAAGAGAAAATCTACAGCATCCCTGCCATATAATGAACAAATAAGATGAGAAAATTCAATTTGGAGGATACGGTACCTTGGGTTTTTTTGTTTTTTTTAAAATTTGATTTGTATGCCGCCCTTCTCTGACTCAGGGCGGCATACAATGCGCTAAGCAATAGCCTTCATTCTTTTGTATATTTATACAAAGTCAGCTTATTGCCCCCACAAACTGGGTCCTCAATTTACCTACCTTAGAAAGGATGGAAGGCTGAGTCAACCTTGAGCCTTGGCGAGATTCGAACCTGCAGTAATTGCAGGCAGCTGTTCTTAATAACAGGGTGCTTTAGACCACTGAACTACCAAGGCTCTGTACTACCAAGGTTAACCCAGACCCAAATCATATAGGGATTTATCAGTTTCATTGAGAAATTTGGTAATCAGAGTAGCACCATCAATATCGGTTCTGTGATTCAGAAGTGGTTCTTACCTGTCAGCAAGTAGGCTACTGCATTTTATTTTATTTTTATTTATTATTTTATTTATTAATTAAATGTATTGGCTACCCATCTTAACAAAGGGTACCTCTGCACAGCTGAGTTTTGAAACAATTATAGTTTCAGGTAATCTTAAGGGTAAGTCTAAGCAAAGAGACTATTACAGTAAACCAGTCTAGGGGCAATGAAGATATTGTTAATTTTTGCTAAAGTCTCCTGCTCTCAAAAGCGCTTCAACTGGGACGCCAGCCAAGGTTGCTCTCTGGTATTCCAGAAAGAGCTTAGTGCCCATGAGAAACTGAAGCCATGGATTTGCCACCCCCTCCAGAGTGAGATGGGGACTAACAACACATGTGGCAGTTTCTGCATGAATAATAGAATAACAGAGTTGGATGTCTTCTAGTTTCAGCCTTTTTAAACATTTCTGTGAAACAAACTGGAGGGAGAAATATCTTCTTTTAAAACCGGTTCTGCCCTATACTGAGCTGGTTCTTCATAATACTGTACTACAATTTCTTCAGTCCTGCAGTTGTTTTAGTCACCTGAGCTTCTTTGCAAAAGGAGTGGATTGGGTTCATAGAATTGTTGTGGAGGGAGGAGACACAAGCCATGTGCACCAAAGCCTATTGGAAAATCTTTGGAAAGTTTTAAGAATCTAACTGCTTCATATATTTTTGCAGGCTGAGCATGACTCTTAAGGATAAATAAGTCTTTGGAATAATTGAAATAAAATGCAGTGTTAATTGAATGTGGTGATGTGCATTCAAATGTTTTGTGAAAAACTGATAAAAAATTATCATATAATTGACATAAGAGTCAATAGCAGCAGGCAAAATGAGTATAGTTTTTTAATCATAGCTTTGTAAAAAATTTCATCTTTTTTTTCAAAAAATACACATTTTAGGAAAAAAATGTGGTTGGCATTTGCTGAATGGTAGAACTTATGTTTGTTATTGGCTTAAGTGCTTAAATATATTTTGATCCTTTTAATATTGCATGCCATTTATGAATTTGCTAAATAAAGGACAGCAATCATTATCACTGTCTCTACAATCAAGTTGTGATGAGAATAAACTTTGTTTCATTCCCTCTGAACCAATGTTATCAGGCCAGCAGCCATCTATATAGAGTTGAAAAAGAAGATGCATTCTTCCTCATACCAAGCCCAAATAAGGGAGCTTGTACCTGTAGATCCTCACGCCCCAAAAGATATCAATGTATTGTGAAAACTGAATATTCCAAAGGCCCTAGATCTTACTATCGTTTTTTTTTAAATGTAGGTGCAGACAACCATTTTTATAATCCTAAAGTGTAAATTGGATAGACAAATAAAAATGGAAGTGGAATTTTCTTCTAAGAGCTGTCAGCCACTGCGACTATCAGCAAATATCGAGAATGAATATACAGTCTCCGTTTACACACCAGGTAAGTACTAAAGCTGGACTTTTTATCCTGAATTTGTGTATGCGTTAGAACATTTTAGTAGAGTTTCTCTTCTAATTAGTGGCACGCTAGTACTAGGCTAACAAACTATCAAAAATATTTTTCCTGTCACTGAGGATGCAAAAAGCTACAATTAGAAAATAAATTTATTTACACAAACTCACAAGTGGATAGCTGGTGGAATGCACAGAATTAAAAGAGTTTAAGATCATAAAGGAGACCTGCATCTTTCATGGGTTAATACAAGAAGTCAAGATGCGAGGAGAAAGCTGACACAGGAAGCAGAAGCTCAGCTGCACTTCCTGTTTCCTGTACTTTCTGTTCACGCTGCTAATTTTAACATCATTATATTTTTAAAAGCATTAGGAAACTTCTCTTTATATGAAGTATTATGTATTGTCAGAGGACATATTTCTATACATATAGTAGCTAATTTAGTTTTTACAGGTAGTCCTCGACTTATAACCATATGTTTAATGACCGTTGAAAGTTACATCAACACTGAAAAAATGACTTATGATGACACTAAGGTCCCCATGATCATATGATCAAAAACAAGCAAAGTTAATGGGTGAAGCTGGATTTGCTTAACAACTGAATAATTCGCTTAACAACTGTGGTAAAAGTCGTAAAGTCAGGTATGGCTCACTTAATGATAACATTGCTTAGTATTGGAAGTTACAGTCCAATTAAGGTTATAAGTCACATTAACAAGTTACTTATGTAGATAATTATGGAATTATCCACAATGTTAATGTTAGATGCTATATAGATCAGTATGGAGCCAAGAATTTGAAGGACATGGTGCTGGCTTTAACTAGTTGGATATCTGAGTCACTGTTAACTCTGGTCATTGGATTTCTGATTCAAAATTTTAGGCTGATACACTCATAGACTCTGTACAATAAGTTTTTTTTAAATAAAATAAGGAATGAAACAAAATTGTTGTAAACATCAACAGTGGTTTGAAAGCTTATTTTAAATCTTTCTGGTCCCTTTTAGTTACACAGTAAGTGAAATTGCTAGAATTGTCAGATTGCTTGGAATACTTAAATTGCTTACTGCTTTACAATTTTGGCTGCTCTGCCTCCCCTGGCCCAGACGCCCCTACTTTCTCCCCCCATATCTGGCCTTTGGGGCATCCTACACTCTGTTGGATGTCCTCTGTATGCCTGGCTCAACATTTGCAAGTCAGCTGCTTCGCAAGCCATTTCAAGCATGTCTCATCAACAGTGGAAGGAAAATGACAGCAAAGGTCAGCTGGGGTAGCTGGGCCGGTGGAGCGCTGGGTAGCAGATTTGGTAGGGGTGACAGAGTACAGGACCTCCAAAAGTCCAGAAATGCAGGCGGCGGAGATAGGTGAGTGAAAGGAGCTGAAGAGGAAGCAGTTCCTTACCTTACCGAGACTCAGGGCTCTCCAAGGCAGCAAGCCAGGAATTACTTGGATTGGGTTGAATCCATGCCTAATAACCAGGTGGGATTTGGTTAATGACAGCCACCAGAACTCCTGAGATTGGTGTTGCTAAATAATGTGATCATGTGATACTGTGCTTTACAACTACATTGCTTAGTGGCAGAAATTCTGGTCCCAATTACCATTATTAACTACTACATCATTATTACCTGTATATGCTCACTCCTTATATATTCTGTTCTTGTAGATCATTTATATGTGGAAACCATGTTCTTGTTCTTTTATTCTCCATGTCATTTTGATAATAGTTCTTGTGTTCTCATTCTTTTATGCTGTTCAGGGGTAAGTTTTAATAAATTTCAACAATGGCATCAAAGCAAAATGCTAATGACATGTTTCAACAAATGCAAACACTCCATAATGAACTTAATGGATAAAATTAGAGTTTGATTTGCTTTGTTCTGGAAACTGTGCAACATCCATAGACAGAAAATTCAATGTAAATGAATCAACCATCTGCCATATGCCAAAAGGAAGACTATGTTTATAAGGCTATTTGCGCAGCTGCTCCAGAAAGTGCTAAAGTGATATCTGTGATTTGTAAAGAAGTATGGAAGAAATAGAAAAGTGGCCTAGTTTGTGCATAAATGAAATGGTTGGTTCCAAGGGATGCCTTATGAACAACAAAATAAAAATAACCCCATATAAATTTACAAATATTTGAACTTCGGGTTGCAGGAGCATGACAGCTGAAACTTGCGGAGCTGGAGAAAACTAACTCATCCCAAAAGGCGGTATTAACATTGCTACATACGTTAAAGGAATCTATGACCAAAAGTCATAATAAAATAAGGAAAGATATAGGGGAAGTGAGAAACGATACGGGAGAGATGAAGGGGAAAATCCAAAATATAGATGAAAAACTTGAGAGCTTTCAACAAATGATAATAAAAAACGAACAAAGAATCCAGAAAATGGAAGAAAAAACAGAACAAGTAGAGAAGAAAGTAGATGATATAAATTATAAACTGATACAAGCAAACAAAGAGTTAATAAATACCATGAATAATGTTAGAGACAGAGAAAGCTGACCACTATCTAAGGTTTCAAAATATAGAAGAGGAGAAGGGAGAAGAACTACCAGAATTAATGAAAAAACTATTGGCGAAGGTGCTAGGAATAGATAAACAGGAGATGGATATTGAAGTGGCTGAAACATATCAGATCTACACAAACTACGCAAGAAGGTATAACCTTCCCAGAGAAGTGCATGTAAGATTCATGAAAAAACCAATACGAGATGAGATCCTTAATAAGGCTAGAAATAAACCACTAGACTACAAAGGGAAACACTTGGTGGTTTTGAAACAAATCCCTAGGAGAGTTAGGGAGCTCACTTTCGGAATATCACTTTCTGACCATAGTATTCATTATACACAATATAAATTTTAGGTGGCTGATACCCGAAGGGATTTTAGTCACCTGGCAGGAAAAAAGACACCGATTAGATTCACTTGACAAAGCAATGGACTTCTATGAAAACTACTTTACCTCGGAAGAGGAACAGGAAGCAAGAGATGAATTAGTACACAAGGGCCAAGAAGTACCAACAATACAAGGGAGACACTTACAACAAGCGCAGAATGAAAAGGAGAAAAAATAATGTTGAGACGAGAAGGAACAATAGCAAAAGAACCCAGCTGGACCCAGCTGTTTTGGCAAACTATCGTCCAGTTTCCAACCTTCGCTTCTTGGCGAAGGTTGTTGAGAGTGTGGTTGCGTGACAGCTACCGCAGTACCTGGATGAAACCGTCTATCTAGATCTGTTCCAGTCCGGCTTCAGGCCCGGGTACAGCACAGAAATGGCATTGGTCGCGTTGGTTGATGATCTCTGGAGGGCTCGGGACAGAGGTTGCTCCTCTGTTCTGGTCCTATTAGACCTCTCAGCGGCTTTTGATACCATCGACCATGGTATCATGCTGCGCCACTTGGAAGGGTTGGGAGTGGGAGGCACTGTTTTATGGTGGTTCTCCTATCTCTCTGACCGGTTGTAGTCTGTGTTGGCTGGAGGGCAGAGGTCGACCTCAAGGCCCTTGGTTTGTGGGGTGCCACAAGGGTCGGTCCTCTCGCCTCTCCTGTTCAACATTTATGTGAAGCCGCTGGGTGAGATCATCCATGGTTTTGGGGTGCAGTGCCATCTATACGCTAATGACACCCAGCTGTACATCTCCACCCCAGACCACCCCAACGATGCCCTTGAAGTGATGTCCCGGTGCCTGGAGGCCGTGCGGGTCTGGATGGGGAGGAACAGGCTCCGACTCAATCCCTCCAAGACTGAGTGGCTGTGGCTGCTGGCGTCCCGATATAGTCAGCTGGTGCCATCGCTGACTATTGGGGGCGAGACATTGGCCCCCACGGAGAGGGCGCGTAACTTGGGTGTCCTCCTCGACGCATGGCTGTCTTTAGAAGAGCATATGACGGCTGTGGCCAGGGGGGCTTTCTATCAGGTTCACCTGATACGCCAGTTGCGCCCCTTTCTGGATCGGGACTCCTTATGCACGGTCACTCATGCCCTCGTTACTTCACGCCTGGACTACTGCAACGCTCTCTACATGGGGCTCCCCTTGAGGAGCACTCGGAGGCTCCAACTGGTGCAGAATGCGGCCGCGCGGGTACTTATGGGGGTGACATGGCGCTCCCACATGACACCTCTCCTGCGCGAGCTGCATTGGCTTCCAGTGGTCTTCCAAGTGCGCTTCAAGGTGTTGGTTCTCTACTTCAAAGAGCTCCATGGCTTAGGATCCGGTTATTTACGATACCACCTTCTGCCTCCGATAACCTCCCACCGGCCAACACGCTCCCACAGAGAGGGCCTCCTCAGGGTGCTGTCTGTCAGGCAATGTCGGCTGGCGACCCCCCCGGGGAAGAGCCTTCTCTGTGGGGGCACCGGCCCTCTGGAATGAGCTACCCCCAGGGATACGACTGATCCCGGACCTCCGTACCTTCCGCTGGGCCCTGAAGACTTTTTTATTTCAGCAAGCTGGGCTGGGTTAAAAATCTTTTAATTGGGGAATTTTATGGGCAAGGGGTTTTAAATTGGAGAAGCCAAAGATAATTTAATTTTGTTTTAATGTATTTTAATATTTATATTGTGTGTTTTTAATTTTGGCTGTTCACCGCCCCGAGTCCTTCCGGAGAGGGGGCGGTATAAAAATTTAATAAATAAATAAATAAATAAATAAAACCCAGGGAAGTAAGAGCAACCTGGACTATAAGACCTGATATAAGCAAATTAATGCAAGAAAAAATAAAGATGCTCTCGGTTAACATTAATGAGCTGAACTCACCTATAAAAAGGAAGAAAATATTTTCTAAACTACACAAATTAAAATTGGACATAATAGCACTTCAAGAAGTGCACATTAAGAAACACCATAAGAAATTATTGGAACACCCCAAATTGGGAAAACTATTCTATTCACTATCCCAGCAAAAAAAAAAAAAGAAGGGTGTTACTATACGTTAAAGACAAATGCCAAACTAATTTTTAATGATGAAGAAGGGAGAA